ATTTACGCAACTGTTCATCAATTTGGTGTCAATGTAAAGTTTGTTAGTTTTATTTTAATAAATTAATTTTGTAGAACTTGTAGCTGTTTAAGTTTACTAATTGAGTGCTTCATTAAATTAAAGTAATCGCTCTACTGGTCAACAACAAAGTAAACTTGGGATAGGGAACTGAACCATTTGGCCCACGATCGTGGGTTTCATACCCCAGGGACGCACCTGAAGGGCGTTTGGTTCTCCAATAGCCCGGAAAAACGTGTTAACACTCTGTGCGTTCACTGGACATTATTAAAAGGAATCCCTGCACATTCTGTTATATTATATTCTTTCACAAAAGCCAATGTTAAATACGTACGGCTTAGTCAAAATATATTAAAGTATAACTCGAAGGCTGTAAAACGTAAAATTCAACCCATAAATAAGTTAAAAATAACGTTATTATCCGGGATAGTTGGTAACACGACTGGCTTATCCGGTTGCTGGAAAATTGAGTTATTCACAGTATCGCTATGGCAATCAAGCGTGAGCCTGTTTCATTCGTTTATTTAGGTACTTAAGAGAGGATCGAACTACAGAAAATGTATACAAGTTTAGAAAAACCACAAGGGCTCTGAAGTTGTAGGTTCGAATATAACAAAAGTCAATCGCAAAATTTTTATGATTTTTTAAATGCATATTCAGTAAGCCTGAGAATCTGAAATCTATTTTTCATGCCCTGAATGTTAACCCCTAAATTTTTATTTTTTAGACAAAGTTTTTGTTTTTATTTTTTTATGATACAGCATACAAAAATACATACAACCCTTAATTGTCACCCTTCACGATCAACCCCTATATTTTATTATAGTAGATAGTAATTTTTATTAAACTAAAAAAATGTTTCCTAGAAATAATATACATGGCAAAACGACGTTTGCTGGGCCAGCTAGTATTTATAATAGATATTTTAATAGTATAGTTTCGTTTGTTGTGTGATCCTATCCAGAGATATAAAGGATCATGGCCACCATGAGACTTTCTTAGAAAGTATTTACGGTCTTAGAATATCTTTGTACACATATTCAGAGTTAGACTACGGTTAGTTTAGTATTTAGGCCTTCATTTCTCAACCTAAACGACGTTTAACCACCGGTTCTGCATAAACCCTTTCCGATGATAAAGTTGAGAAAAGAAGAAAAGAAAAAAAGAATCGTGAGCCCCTTGTC